GCAAAACGGGGACCTCTCCCAACAAAGTCTGCTCTATTCGCAAGCGCCTGGGATCGAACCCAGGACCTCTTGTTTAAAGGATCCAAGCCCCTTCCACTTGGACCAACTCCTGTTGGTTGCGGGGGCTGTTTTCCACTCAGCTTCCTGGAGTCAATTTTGTACAACAAACAGTGGTTGCGAGAACAGTAGTCGAAGGAAATGAAGTCGTCTCAATTTGGAAAACCAGTTTGGCTATATTCAATCTTATTTATAAACCAGTTTGCCATGGCCCATGCCTTAATAATCAAACTCAAAATGGGGGTTTTTGTTATGAAACTGATTTTATTAATACACTCACTTGTGAATGGAGCATTGTTCGTTTGCTCCATGCATTTGAGAATGGGAGGCAACGAGACCGATAGGCTGGCACTGCTAGCCATCAAAGCTCAAATAAAGCAAGATCCTCATAATGTATTCAGCTCCTGGAATGAATCCATTCACTTTTGCTCGTGGCACGGTGTCTCCTGCGGTCGACGACATCGCCAGAGGGTCACAAGGCTAGACCTCCGATCTCAAAAGCTGGCAGGGTCCCTATCCCCACACATAGGAAACCTAAGTTTCCTAAGGGAACTAGAACTACAAAACAACAGCTTCAGCAATAAAATCCCTCCAGAAATTGGGAATTTGCGTAGATTGCAGGTACTGTCTCTACACCATAACTCATTTAGTGGCCTTATTCCATTCAATATATCATATTGCTCCAACCTCATCTTCATGGAGTTCAATTCCAACGGGTTGGTGGGTAAAATTCCATCTGAATTTGGCTCTTTGTTGAAGCTTCGAAGAATTGTGTTAAACAAAAATAATTTAATAGGAGAGATCCCTCCTTCCTTGGGGAACCTTTCGTCCCTCAAGACACTTGCTGCAACACAAAATAACTTGGTGGGAAGCCTCCCTACTTCTCTAGGTCAATTAAAAAAATTAACATTTTTGGTATTTGACATAAACTACTTATCTGGTACCATTCCTCCCTCCATCTATAACCTCTCTGCTCTTAATACGTTTGGCGTAGGAATGAACAAAATTCAAGGGAGGCTTCCATCAGACTTGGGAAAAACTCTTCCTAATCTCCAAAACTTTGCCATTGCTTTCAACCAATTTTTTGGATCCTTGCCTCTCTCACTATCAAATGCCACAAGTCTCCAGTTACTTGAAATTCAATATAACAACTTCACAGGTCAGATGCTGGATTTCCGAAAGCTTCATAACCTAGAGAAATTTGTAATTCAACAGAATCATCTTGGAAGCGGTACTACAGATGGTGACTTGACTTTCCTCACGGACTTGACCAATTCCACGGAGTTAAAAGACTTGATTATGAATGACAACAATTTTGGAGGGACGTTGCCCACATCAATATCCAATCTCTCAACCAAGCTTGAAATGTTTTGGTTTTACAGCAACCAAATACATGGAAGCATTCCAACAGACATAGGAAATTTGGTCAGCTTGGAATCGTTGTTAATGGGGGGAAATAGCTTCACCGGTAGCATCCCCACTGAAATTCAGAAGCTTTCAAGCCTTGTGGAATTAGATATTTCTATGAATGCATTATCAGGAAGGATTCCATCATCCTTAGGAAATTTAACCAAGTTATACAAACTCTTCTTACAAGGAAATAATCTTGAAGGCGTCATCCCTTCAAGCTTGGGGAACTGCCAGCGGTTGATATTATTGGATTTATCTAATAATAAACTTAGTGGCGCAATACCTCAACAAGTTATCGGCCTCCCGTCCTTATCACTGCTTTTGAACTTGTCGACGAACAACTTTACGGGTTCTCTTCCGAAGGAGGTTGGGAAGTTGAAGAGTCTAGGTGTACTGGACGTTTCTAATAACATGTTATCCGGAGAACTTCCTAGTAGCCTTGGTTCATGTGAGAGTTTAGAAGTCTTACGTTTGCATGACAACTTCTTCAAGGGGTCTATTCCCTCATCTGTGATTGGGTTGAAAGGCATAGAAGAATTAGACCTTTCCCGCAACAATTTGTCGGGTGAAATTCCAAAATTCTTAGAGGGCCTTGTCTTGTTGAAGAAACTAGACCTATCATTCAATGAATTTTGGGGAGCGGTACCAACTGGAGGAGGTGCTTTTAAAAATGCAAGTGCGATTTCAATTACTGGCAACACCAAGCTCTGGCGACCCACTGACGACATGTTTAATGGGGACCTAAACCTTCATACTTATGTTAAAATGGCTTTCCCTAATCGAGTTATGGAGATTGTAGATTCAACACTTTTTGAAGGAGGCACAAACGAGAGAAGGGTTCAAAAGATTGAGGTGTGCTTGAATTCAATATTTAGAATTGGAATTGAATGCTCTGCTGAATCTCCAACGGACCGTCTGAAGAATATCAGTGATGCTGCATCTGAGTTGCATTCCATTAGAGACGTTCTTCTTCGATAGGAACTTTTTCTGCTACGAGTTTGTGTGTGATGGGGATATTATTTTTTTATGTGCTGCCTGAGAAATATTCTTGTTGCTGCTGCTAGCCTGCTACAGTATATGGGAGTTCTGCTACTTTAATCCTATTCCATTAACGTATCTTCAAAAAAGAAGTATTTTTCTAAATAAAATTCACTCTTTCGTGAATAATATGGCTCTAATTCCTTTTTATTTTTATTTTTATAACTAGAGGGATTTATATGATTTAATGTATACTTTTATTTCTAGAAAAACTATAGAAACTGTTAGTACCCAAAAAAAAAAAACATTAGATTTTAAGTTAATAACTTTAGCTAGCTCACCCATTGAAAAATTCCTAGTTCCGCCCTTGAATGTAGGATTTCCTCACCGGCACTTACGCAATGTTGGTACCAAACAACCGCAGACCCACCTACTAGAATCGATATTGTTCCCAACTTAGTCACCTAAGTCCAATAAATTGGTCACGCCCAATAGACCATTATTATAGGTGTAAGGTTTTATCTCAAAGACATTAGTGTTATCATCAATGAAACCCCCATATTTAAGGTGTAAATTACTATTAAACTTCCCTGATGTGGGACTCTATAAAAAGGAATATTGCGGTAATTAATTATTAACAGCCCGTGATGATAATGAGCTCATGCCATGGGGCCCAGGCTTCCACCTTACAACCTCGAATTTTTTTTCCTTCTTTCTTCTGTTTTCTCTATTCTTCTTCAAATTTTTTCCTACTGACATTGTCGATTGATAATGCTTGGGATATCTTTGTAGGTCCGCCAGTGATGGGAATGAAGGAGGTTTGATAATGCTTGGGATATCTCTCACTCCCCTTAGAGCACTTTTACTTATAGTGTCATGGCAAAGGATAAGGACATGTAATCCTTTTTTATTTTGCTTTTCCACCCATTGTAATACCAAGTAAAGGCAAGCACTATTCACATGAGATATGAGAAGAGAAATTTATATGGAGTTTTGGTGTGGGAAGTGAATAACATGGCTAGGTATTTATAGAAAAAAATTCTGAATTTTTTGTATTTAAATTGGTTGATGACGATATCAGTAAACTTAGGTAGCAGTTTAGGCAATTCTTGCATTTTGGGCTTACCTGGGTAAATGTAGCCCATTTTTGCCCAAACTTCCTTTCATTGCTCGGGGGCTTAAACCCAACCTAGATTCCCTTTTGCCTTGGCAAAAGTGAGCCACTGGAAGTGCTCTTATATTTATACAACATAATCAGTCCCGATCTCTTGGACCATAGGGGTCCAAGAAATTTGTGGTCACCCACCGTTAGATGTAAATTCAACGGTTCACTCACTCTTGCACTCCTTTTAAGAAACTTTTTTGAACAATTGGATTAATATCTAACGGTAGTTGACCACAATTTCTTGGACTCCTGTGGTCCAAAAGATCAGGACTGACAACATAAATAGGTTATTAGGGTTAATTTTATTTCAATACGCCATAAATAGATATTAGTGTGTGTTTGCATATCTTTTATTGTTTTTTAGTCCATGGTTAACATGTAAGATGATGATATATACGTATTCCTTTTCCATTGGCTTCATAGGTCCCAATCTTGTCATTGATTATATACATACTTATGGACTAATAAATGTTAGAAATTGTTCATGCACAAAATTCATGTATTATATAGAGATATTTAGTTATATACTCATTCTTAGCATTAAAACTATAAATAAATCATACACCATTTAATTTCTATAAACAAACCCAAAAAATAATCAAAAAATGACAGTTGTCCTTATTGACATTAATTTTAATTATTAAATTACTTTAATAGCCTATTGAATGTTTTGGGCTTTTTTATGAGATTTTGGGGCCGCGTTTGTTTTAAGAAATCAATAACAGTTTTGTAATTTAAAAGAAGTTAAAAGCCTTTTTGTTATATTATAAATGAGCTTTGGGTGTGTTTCTAAAGTCCATTTCATATATGTTTTTTTTTAAAATAATTTGAGCTCCTATATTGGGTATAATAGTGAATCTCCTTATTATATATCATTAGTAATTGTTAGGAACTATTCACGTGCACATGTGCTCCCGAACTATTCATCATAGTAAAATTTATTTATTTTTTCGGTCAAGATCATAGTAAAATTTACACATTGCATAATAACTCAGTTAAATAGAGGATTGAGAATAAAGTAAGTTGCAAAATAGAACTACGGGTGGAAATATCAGTACTCTTGCATAATAACTTAGTCCAAATCATTAGGGGTGGTTGCGGTTCGGTAACTGCGAATTTTTGCCCAAATCGCAAACCGATCGACTATTTGCGGTATGGTAATTTTTGAAACCGCAAACCGACCGCTTATTGCGGTAAACCGCAAAAAGCGGTCGGTTACCATGAATTAGCGGTTTAAAACCGCAAGTTCTTTTTGTGTCATAAAAATCCAATATTCCACATTTTAGGCCTAATTTTGATACTTCTTTTGACCCAAAAATCCAATCTTTCAAGCATACTTTAACCCAAAAATATAAATTACAACCTAAAGAAATAAATTCACAACCTCAACTTCTCAAGTATATATAAATTCACAACCTCCTCCGCAAGCATTCACAACCTAAAGAAAATTACAATTACAATTCCAAGCATTCCAATTAAAGTTAAACTTCTCAAACATTCACAACCTCAACTTCTCAAGCATTCCAATTCCAAATCCTTTAAAGTTACAAACCAAAAGGAAAATGCAATGTAAAATGAATTAAAGTTACAACCCAAAGGAAAAATCCAATTCAAAGTTAATTAAAGTTATAAACTAAAAGGAAAATGCAATGCACTAATGTTACAAACTTAAGTGTTGGTGGTGGTGAGTGGATTTGAAGGACCCCGTTGTGTTGTTTGAGCACCAATGCTATCTACAAATAAAACAACATAAGTTTAGTATATTTTATTATAAGAAGAAGCATAAATAACATGAGCATAAATAAACTAATTACTTACAAGTTGTCATATGTTCCATTTCCTTGTATAATTTTTTTTTATAAAAAATATAGTCGCGGTTTGCGGTAACCGTAAGTTTTGAAAATCAAATACCGCAAATGCGGTTCGGTTCTTCATACCACAAATACGGTTCGGTTTTCTACAATTGCGATTTTATTGTGGTAAATTGTCAGTTGATTTTTGCGATTTTTCGGTCTAAAATGCCACCTCTACAAATCATTGTGGCTATTTCGTCTGAAAAAGACAATCGGTGTATAGGGTTTTGGTTAATTTGGCTCCATGTCCAAATTGAGGAATTGGAGTTGGGTACAGGCTCCAACATTCAAAAAATTTTGGTTTTCGAAAAGGTGGGGCCCAACATGGTCCAAAAATCCATGAATGTTAAAGCTACAAAACAAAATGGTATTTAACCATGTCCTGGACCATCATTTTGTCATCCACACCACCACCACCACCGCCCCATCCAACAACACCAGCACCACAGGATGTTGGACAAAGAAGATAAAGATGACCGTTTGAATTGAAGGAAGCAAGTATTAGAAGAATAATGGTTACTAAAAATTAAATAAATAAATAAATAAATACATAAAAGAACCATTGAAGTCAATAACTTCTTTCTTTCTTGTCTCAACTTTAAGGTAAATAAATTTCACAACTTCACATGGCAAAGTTTCCTCCAGCTGGGGACCATTTGGGTGTTCTAAAATTCTTGGCAAAATAAATAAATAAATAAATACATAAAAGAACCATTGAAGTCAATAACTTCTTTCTTTCTTGTCTCAACTTTAAGGTAAATAAATTTCACAACTTCACATGGCAAAGTTTCCTCCAGCTGGGGACCATTTGGGTGTTCTAAAATTCTTGGCAAAATAAATAAATAAATAAATACATAAAAGAACCATTGAAGTCAATAACTTCTTTCTTTCTTGTCTCAACTTTAAGGTAAATAAATTTCACAACTTCACATGGCAAAGTTTCCTCCAGCTGGGGACCATTTGGGTGTTCTAAAATTCTTGGCAAAATAAATAAATAAATAAATTATTACCAGACATCTGCCAGTTTGGTAAACAAGAATTTTGCCCTATGTAATTGTGCAATAAATAAATAATTAATCCAACAATTGCACGCCATAATCTACAACGACAGTGTGTGCGTTGTTATTTTAAGTTTGTCGGGAGAAGATAATCATTCTATCATTACAAAAGCGAAGTCATGATCAGTTAATTAATCTGCACTTTCCCTAATCTTCATTATTGAAAACATTTGTTACCCATACCACTGCATTGGATCAGCTTAATCAAAAATTAATTGCAACTTAATTAGTAACCCATCACGATTCACGCACGACTCCCCCATTGTTGTTTCGGACTGTTTTATTTATTTATTTTTATATAGAAAATGCTTCCGATCATAAACCCTTTTGTTAATTAGAAGCAATTTTCTTATAAGGACGTACAAGTTTCTTATTTTTTGGAAAATTACTTGAAAATAGAGTGTTCTTCAAAAAGCGTTCCGTTTTGGATTTTCCCAAATCTATGTAAATAGGTGATATATTTAATTAAACCACTAAAATCACCGAAATCATTCGCAGAGTGAGCTAAGATTCCGAGGTTGGAAGACTTTAGAGTACGTATAATTAGGATGTATCTTTATCTCTGTCATCACTGCTGAGTTGTGCATGCAAATTAAGCCAAAAACATATTTGACCCCACGTACCTATCCAAAGGCCAATTCATAGCATAACGAGACCAACCCAAGCGAGGGAAGCCCCCCAAAAAAAAAATGACCGTTGGAAAGGACTGAAATTTGTTTCCATATATATAGTACTTGCATTCCATTATATACATGTTCCTTGATATCTCTTCGATAGCTCTTGGCTCTTGCAATCGAATCTCATAACCTCAGAGAGAGAGAGAGAGGGAGCAATCTATCTATCCACCATTTTCGTTATTATTATTATTATTATTAAATTTAATGCTATTTTAATTAATTCAAACAATTAATGGCTTCTTCTCTT